ATATATATATATATATATATATATATATATATCCTTAAAGAAATGATCGGAAGCGATTATATAACCTCTAAGTATCACCTCCTTAAAATCAACTATATCAGAGGGGATTTGTACCAATGACTTTAGGGGTCTTATATCGTGGATGTCAACCAACAAATCGGGGTACACGACACTATAATAAACTAAATGACTGTGTTATTTTGTTCAGATACAATTTTTTTTTCCTCTTCTTCAAGGTTATAGACATTCCTTAAAATTTAGTTGTGGAGGTCCACATATTAAAATGACAACTATATTCTCCTAGGAAAAAAGTATAAGCCACAGTGTGCTTGTAGTTCACCGAATATTCAGTGATTTTAAATGGCAATGAAATGCTCATCATATTCATATATTTATCTTGCAGAACCAAAAAGGCTCCGGTTTAGGTGAGAGGCGCCTAAGACTAAGTGGTCAATGGATTTTTAGTTCGGTGCACAATTCATTTTCAGCAATTTAATATTTGTAGGTTGTTGCTCTCTTGTTTTTTACTCTTTTTTTATTTACAGCCCATTCAATCTTTTTGGTTGTTAAGTAGGTTTAAAAATTACATGTTCTGTTAAATGCCCGTATGCCCCTATATTTTTACCGCTAAAAAATAATTATAAAATTTGTTACCGCTAAAAAAATAGTTTTGCTTCCGTTAATTTATAAACAGAAAAATTAAATCTTCATAAAATTTTCATCAATCTCACTTACAATTTCAAATCATATACATTGATATTGATTTTATATGCCAAAATATATATATCAACGCTAAATCCACTCAGGCCTTTGCAGTGCACACCATGTGTTGAAAATTAAAAGATTTGGATATTTTATCCAACAATGATGACGAACTGTTTGGAAACCATCAAAAAATGTCACTAATAACATATTCATGGAATGGCCTTACACCATCCTCCAAAGTTTTGCAATATTTCAATATACCATCAATTTAAATATTTACAGAAAAGAGATTCAAATTTTTCAGCTTGAATAGCAAGAACTGAAATTTAGCTCAATCTTTATGACACAAACACCCTCCTCAGACCAACATTGCTGAATTTTCTTCCACAAAGCTAAGCACCATTCAAGCTCTTCTTCCAAACCATAAACATGATCATTTAACCAGATATGGCATTAGATAATTACAAACATGCCACTCAAAATATTGCTACTTACAATCTTGTTTTTTTTTTTTTTTTTTTAACCACTGAATCAATGCATTTAAGGATGCCAAGATCAAACTATTGACCTTGACATGAATTATTGATGTTTCAGAGAACTTAAAAAATTTATGAAAGAGGGTGTTAGATTTATAAATAATAATATTCCAAGTGCCATGTATGAAATTCATTCAAAGAATTTAAACTGCTGTGGCTGTGGCCCCTTCAAAAAAAAAAAAAAAAGATTGCACTGTACGGATAGCTGTCTTGTATTTACTTAGGCACCTAAGAATCAGGTCAGACTGCCAAACATGAAACCTTATTTTCAGTGAAAAGCTCCATAAGCATAAAATGCAAGATCCAGAAAAAGAATCGGAGCAGTATATCATCTAATCATTTGAAATTGGAAAATGGGTGCCAGCATTCACATGCCCAACAGCCAGAGGACAAAACCATTTCAGCAAATTCGAACCCAGATTCTAACAAAGCAAAAACATGTTATAATGATGGAACTTGGTCAGTAAAATGCATAAAAGTCCTAGAAAAATTGTAGTATTGAATGCACATACCGATTTAAGATTACTATATACACCGAGGTCGAAAGGATGCCGATAATTTTGACCGCACTTCTTGGCTAGCCAGACGGCCCGCGCCGCCTCTCGATACTGAGTGTGGATTTACGGAATGGCGATGGGTGAGCGAAGTTTGATTTGATAAGGAAGAATGCTGCAGAAAGTTAATGAAGAGCCGACTGACCTCTATGGTAGTAAGATTTTTTGATAGGAGATAGATGTGCCAGGCAAAGAGACTGCTGATGGTTATGCTTAAGAGAACCAATGCTAAACCACTCAGAACCTGAAGTATGCAATTAATTGTTAGGAAGATTTAAATATATACCCACTCAATTCCTAACACTAAATTTTAATTTTTTACATGCATGCCACCATACCCATATAAATGACAGTCATAATGATTGTATTTTTTATGTGATATGAAAGATTTGGGCAGTATTAATATAAAAATAAGAGTCCCCTAATCGTTAAGAGCATGCATGTAAAATACAGCACAGTTTTATTTGTGTGATCTAATAGCCATATCATGGAGGAAATGGTCAAGTTCCTACCTAGAGCAACATGGAAGTCACAAGTTTATTTGTATAATAGAGAAACAATGCTAAATTTACAAATCTCTCCCCCTGATCATGTAGTTGCAGGAGATTTGAGCATTTAAGGCCACTTATGTTTCTTCAAGGCTTAATATCCACATGGCACATCATATTGAAACCACAGATCATAACATCATGTCATAATTGTAGTAATCACATATGTTACTTGAAATATATAAAAAAAAAGGAGAATTTACCGCTCAATTCCTATGTATCTACATATCTAACACCTAAACTTTAACTTTTACATACATGTCATCTTACCTATGCATGAAATGGTGTATTTCACTTTTTAAAAACTAAAATAGTGGTATTTTTAATGTAATCTGAAAGATTTGGGTGGTATAAATGTAAAAAAATATAGTTGTTAGATATGTAAATACATAGGAATCGGGTGGTATGTATGTAAAAGCCGCTAAAAGAAAATGAAAACTTTGATGTACCTCAAACTCAAATCATACAAAAACATAAAAAATAAAAAATCCCGGCCACATCTGTTGGACCAATCATTATGAGCAGCATGAGCTCTGGATAAAAACATTTTTCTCACAATTTATGATACATGATTATATCATGGACTTCCGTGCAACGATAATTATGATCGAGTCATCGAAGGTGTGTATTTACTTCATCTTCATTGAGAAATTTAAACATCCTACACAATTCTTATTCACACACATATTCAACACTCAAAGTTTGATAATTAGATTTACAACACCATGGTATTATAATGCATGAAAAGTTGTATTTCACTTTTATAAAGACAGTGATGATGGTATTTTGCATGTGATGTTAAAGATTCTAGTAGCATGCATGTAAATATGAATCTTTAGATATTAATATGTAAATACATAAGAATTAAGTGGTATTTATGTAAATGCACCATGTTTATAAAGCCTTAGTTGTGTTTCTGGAATGGTTGATCGTATCAATTGGTCCTCCTTCAAATGGTATAAATGCAACTTATGGAAATGGAAGCCCAAGTGATAAGATAAATTTAGAAGATTGTCAGGAGGAGAAGATAAAATTGCAATGTTTCATCATATAGAATAGAATTATGGACTTGCATTTAGTTTTGAGCTTTTTGGCGCAGTTGATATTTTGAGCACTGGAAATTGAAAGAAGAAGCTTTTTGTACTTCTTTCTGGAGCAAATTAAACGGGTTGAATTTTGAACAACTACAGAAATTTTAGAGCACCGCAATAACAGAGCAAAATTATCAAACCAAAGGAAAATTCTGAGCAATCAAAAGTTGAAGAAAAGTTGTAACTTTTATTCAAGGGGCATTTATATACATACCACCTAATTCCTTTGTATTTATATATCCAACACTTAACACTTAACTTTTTTACATTTATACCACCCAAATATTTCATATCACATAAAAAAATACCACCATTTTAACTTTTAAAAAGTAAAATACACATTTTTCATGCATAGATAAGATGGCATATATGTAAAAATTGAAGTTCAGATTTGAATATGTAAATGCATAGGAATTGAGCGGTGTGTACGTAAATCTTTCTTTATTCTAATTCTATAAAAAAAATTATTATTTCTTTTTTTTTTTTTTCTTGAACTGGTCGTATGCGAACAAGATGATTCGCACTCACATTGAAGAGCTTCCAAACCATACTTCTGAAGCCATGTTTCTTGTGGAGTGTATCACAAAAGAAAATTACCTGCAACAATCAAATCTTGAATTACACAAATTATCGATGATATAAGCATTTAGCTGCCCATAGTTTGCTGCAGAAGAGGCGCAAAGCACTTTAAACTTCATTTTCGGGTATTTACATGCATACCACCCTATTCTATATTTACACATCTAACACCTAAACTTTACTTTATACATTTATACCACCTAATCTCTCAAATCCTATCAAAACCATCACTAATTTAATTTCTAAAAAGTGAAATATATGTTTTCATGCATGGGCAAAGTTGCATGTATGTAAAATTGTGAAGTGTGAGTGTTATGTAAATACATAAGAATTGAGTGGTATGTACGTAAATCTTCCCTTTATTTTTTTGTGTTTCGTTAGCTGTTCGTTGAGTTGTTAGAAGGCATCTTTTAACTTCCTTCGCCTCCCTGAAAAGTAAATGCGATCAAAATTAATGTCATTTACCTAATAGGGTCTTGGGTTTGAACTGTAAAGATTTTGCTGCAGTGACAGCAAGTACTAAAAAGAAAGTAAAGAGCTGGGAACAACACTGATTCTAAGAATAATTTATAGGGGCATTTACATACATACCACCCAATTCCTTTGTATTTACATATGTAATACTTTATTTTTTACAATAATAACACCCAAATCGTTCTTATCAAATAAAAAGTAACACCATTTTAACTAAAAAAAAGGTGAAATTCACCTTTTCATGTATAGGTTAGGTGGCACGAATGTAAAAAATGAAGTTTAGGTATTAGATATGTAAATACATAGGAATTGAGTGGTATATATGTAAATCTTCCTAATTTATAAACCGAGTATGTCAAATTAACCAACCGTAGAATAGATGGACGCAGCTGAGCCATAAAAGATGCAGCCAATAAAGGACTTATAATTTGCATATCCCACACAATTACCAATCCAAGAACAGTGATGATCCTGCAATATGTAAAAAGTGCAACACCAAATACAATTAGAATACTGATTTAGAAGGTGCGCATGATGAAGAGCAGATAGTTTTTTTTACATACCATTTTCAGAACACACCTTCTGCAAACCCTGCAATGATGTGCACGGGGTGGCTTATAAGCACAGCACTTGTCACAATATTGAGATTTACCCTTCTGGAAAACAATGTAAATCTTTAGGACCAAAAAGAAAAAAAAAGAAGAATGAAAGTATAATTTAAAGTATATAAGAAGGGTCTCACTAAAATGATCTCTCTCTCTCTCTCTCTCTCTCTCTCTCTCTATATATATATATATATAAGGAATGCCCAGAGGCTATTAGACGTGCCCTGTTCATCCCTAGGTGTGCTAAATATTCAAGTACCGCACCCTACTACACAAGAGGGATTCGAACCCAAAACCTTGAGGGGATTTACAACCTTCAAAGAGGCTGCTCTCCAACAGACAACGGAACGTGCGCACACACACACATACAGATATGTATGTGTGTGTGTGTGTGTGTGTGTGTGTGTGTGTGTGTGTGTGTGTGTGTGTGTGTGTGGTGGTTTAGGGGTCGGGGGGGTCATGTATCTGGTCTGTTGGTTGACACCTACGGTATAAGACCCTTCAGGTCGAGAGTTCGAACCAAGGATTAACATTAGTACAAAAAAATGAACTATATATAAATAGCAAACTACTCTTCCTACTCTCTTTGGCTGGCAATTGGAGGCTCATATAATAGCCTCTAGTCATTCCTTTTGAAATATATATATATATTCAGGTCGGGAGTTCGAACCCCATACATATCCGGTCTGTTGGTTGACATCTACAGTATAAGTCCCTTCAGGTCGGGAGTTCGAAATCCCCTCTGACACAGTTGGTCTTAAGGAGGGGTACTTGAATTGTTAGGCACATTAGGGGTGGCTGGAGGCTCATATAATAGCCTCTAGCCATTCCTTTTGATATAATATATATATCCGGCCTGTTGGTTGATATTTACGGTATAAGACCCTTCAGGTCGGGAGTTCGAATCCCCTCTGGCAAAGTTGGCCTTAAGGAGGGGTACTCGAATTGTTAGGCACATTAGGGGTGGCTGGAGGCTCATATAATAGCCTCTAGCCATTCGTTATTTTATATATATATATATGAGGACATGTAACAATATATATATATAATTGATGGCTACAAAGTATAATTTAATGAGGCGGTTGGTAGGTGGTAAGTGGTGGCCAATAAACAAGTAATATCCAACGAATAATTCTTGCCCTTATTCATTAAAGTAACTTGTACTCAAGTCAATGTAGCTCAAACATAAAGGTCAATCGATATCTATAAAAAAAATTAAGGTTAACATATGGTAAAAATTGCACTAATGCCAATTTAATATGACCCAATAAAGGAAGTAGAATTACAGGCAAATAGAAATAGACATTTCACAATGAAGGTTTTAAAAGGCAAAATCAAGAATTGAGGTATTTACTCTTAGTGAGGCAAGGTGTGGACTTAAGTAGATCGAGACCTAAGCTTCAAAATATAAAAATAAAAACTCCTAATTTAAAAATAACATATGAATTATTATATCATAACAAAGAAAATTGCAATGTTCTCTTTAGGAAAAGAGAATGAGCATATTTTTAATAAGAAACAATAACATTATCATATAATAAAATTTTAACACGATAATAGAAATTAAAGAAACCCTTATCGTGTATTATAAGAAGAAAATAATAATAATTGTTAGCATTTGAGAATAGAACTTCATACTTTCATTAATAGAAAAAGGGAGATAAATACATATTATATGACCCAAATAAAATAAAAGACATAAATTCAAAAGTAAACCAACTAGGAAATACATAAATATGAAAATTAAAAAATAAAGGAAACAAATAAAAGCTAATAATAACTGCAATAGTAATTGGCCTATAATAAGGCTAATAATTCTAATACTCCCCCTCAAGTAGAAGCATAGATGTTCATCATGTTCAACTTGAATTTGAAGTCATCAAACAATGGCCGAGAAAGATTCTTAGTAAGAATATATGTTAATTGACCATAAGATGAGAAAAATGGAATACAACTCTCCCCTAAATCAAGCTTCTCCTTGATGAAGTATCTGTCAGTCTCTATATGTTTAGCGCTATCATGCTGGAGTGGATTATGGGCAATGCTAATGACGACTTTATTATCACGGAACAGCTAAAGAGGAGCAAAGATCGACATACTTCATTCACGGAACAACCACAGAGCTTCACAAATAACCAATCACATGGAGCGAAACTTGACTTCAGTACTGTTTCGAGCAACAACTGACTATTTTTTATTTTTCCACGTGACAATATTTCCCCTCACAAATGATATCCTAAGGCAGATCGCTAAACATGGACAAATCAGAACTAATCCGCATTTGTATAAACATCAATAGAAAAAGAGGTGTGGTGCTAGAAACACAAACCTAAGCCCAGTTTTAAGTAGTGAAAGATTTTGTGGACAACTCAAAGATTGTGATCATAGGGATTATGCATGAATTGGCTCGCAATACCTACTGCGTGGCAAATGTCGCGGTGACGCAATTTATAGATCTAGAATCAAGCTTACTACGATTAGGGCAGTGTTCCAAACAAAGGATGTGCACTCAAAAATTTTGGGTCGAGTTGTAAGTAAATGATTTGTGGGGAAACATGGCATCAAGATGGCTAATGGAGTTCTAAAGTTATGAATTTTTGTATAGACTATATTGATATGTGATAGTAAGCACGGCATTAGTCCAAACTTTTTCGAGACATTAAATTGAAACATAATGGAACAAACCACTTTAACAAGGTGTCAGTTTTTTCTCTTTGCTACCCCATTCTGTTGAGGTGTGTTTGTACATGAGCTATATGATGGGGGATACCCTTACTTATCAAGAGTTCACCTAAAATAGATTTAAAAATTTCACAACCATTATCGATTTGTAGTACTTGAATTAACACTTTGAATTAAGTCAAAATGAGAGAGAGTTTTTGAAGGTGCTAGTAGCTTCAGATTTATTTTTTAAGATATAGACCTATGTCATTCGAGTGTGATCATCAATTAAGGTAAGGAACCATCGTCTATTAGTATAGCCAGGGGTACGATAGAGCCCCGCAAGTCAATGTAAATAAGTAAAAAATGATCATAAGACATGTAGGGGTGGGGTGGATAGGGGAAGCAATAATGTTCAGCTAATTGAAAAATCTCACATTTAAAGTTAGCAAAACTTTTACTAGTAAACATCGACGGATATAATTGTTTTAAATATTAGAAACTCGAATGACCCAAACAATAATGTAACAACATAATAACGCATTCATTGGTTCGAGAAAAACTACAACTACTGGGAGAAGTACCCCATTCTTCATGGCTTTCCTATTGGAAGAAGAGGAGCCCGACTACCTGCATAGCAGTTCTAATCATCCTCCCCAAACAACGATCCTGAAAACAAAACATCGGGAGAAAAATTACGCGATCCATGTCATGTGTCAGCTTACTAACAGATAACAAGTTAAACTTCAACAAGAGGACATGTAACACCGTTCTAGAGTTAGACCGGTTGTATGTTAATATAATTGACAATTTACCAGCAATAGAGTAACATGAGTCATCAACAATTTTAATTGTATATTTCCCAGAGCATGGATAATATGTTGAGAAAGCTTGAGAGCATCCAGTCATGTGGTCTGTGACATCTGAATCAATGATGAATGGACTAGAAAAAAAAAAGTGAGAGTCATAGGAGTGATACCATGACGGATGTGGAAGGTTGACGAGCCAAAAGTGAAATGACTGGATTCAAGTGGTTTGACTAATTGCTCCATCCGACTCTTAAGAGAATCGGGTGATTCCAGGGTGTTACGAATGATAGATGGTTGAACCGTAGCAGATTCAGTTACCGTAGTGAGACCCTTACCTGAGAGAGATTTGGTCGAGTGTTTGTACATTCGTTTCCCGTGGAGTTTTCAACACTTGTCTCGAGTATGGTTGGGTTCATGACAGTAATCACAAGTCTTGTTTCGCCTTGTAGATCTTTTTGAAAACCCTGTAAAGTTGGCTTGAGTTTCCTACATCCGAGAAGGTATCCCGAACTAAAGTCCATTGGGCATTGGTTGAAGGAAGAAACATATGCAAAAGGCCAATCCCAGTTTCTATGGAGTTAATCAGTCATGACATGACCATGAAATTCTCCACTTTATACATTGAGTTAGTTATAAAAGGTTCACGAATCATTCTCGTCAGATAGTCAAATTTCTCGTATCCCTTGATGAACAAGAACACGGCTTCGGACCATTGAAGAAAATTAGAACCGCTCAGTTTATGTGTGGTGATTGGGAAGTTCATTTGGTTTTCCGATCCTCCGATCTACGAAGTGATAGAGACAGGTGTCGACCCTCCGGTGGACTCAAGTACCCCGTCAGGAAAGGCTCGGTGGTGGAATAGTCTGTCGTGATTCTAACAAAGCCAAATTGGATGTTGGGTTGCTGAGAAATGGAATATTTTGGATGTTGAACAAAGGAACCTGGCTAGAAAAAGTAGGCAAGGAAAAATTCAGCTGGCTAGAGAAAGCTCAGGTCGGCAGAAAGAAATCTCAGCGATCGGAATAGGCCGATGGAGGCAACAAGGAGGCGAACCAGCCTATTTTCTGCAACAAAAAGAATTTCAGCGGCTGGAATAGGCCCACAAACGCAACGGAGGCAACCTAACTTATTTTTTGTGGCTGGAACAAGTCGGCAGAAGTGTGGGAAGTCTTGCAGCATCAAGGAGGCCTAGCAAATGCAAAGGCGGCAAACCAACCTATTTTCTGTTGCTGGAACAGACCGGCAGAAGCAAGGTGGCGCGACAAAGAAGCACCTGCAAGTGCCAGCGCTAATCCTGGAGGCAAAAAACCTGCAAGGAGAGCCTTACAAGTGGTCGGCGGCTAGGTTAGTAGCTCTAAGGTCAGAACATTGCTCTGATACCATGTTAACATTTGAGAATAAAACTTCATACTTTCATTGATAAAAGAAAAAAGATAAATACATATTATAGGACCCAAATAAAAGGAAAGACAAATTCAAAAATAAACCAACTAGGAAATACAAAAATATGAAAATAGACAAATAAAGGAAGCAAATAAAAGTTAATAGTAATTACAGCAATAATTAGCCTATAATTAGGCTAATAATTCTAATAATAACCATAAAAAATCATAAACAATACTATTTTAACACAATAGTAACAACAATAATAACATGTATGGGATTCACCTAATGCTCCGACTCATCATTCTAACAAGTTTTTTATTATGGTTTGCGGTTTTAGAATATTAAATCATTAGTGAATAATAGATTTTACATTCTTTATACTGAAAGGGACAGAAATCAAAAGAAATATATCGGCATTCTCTTATTTTCACTAACTTTTAAGCTAGAGGACCCAAATGAAATATTTATTACTTTTCTACCCCATTATTTTTTTCTCTTTAACATTTCCTGATAAATATCCTTGATATACTATTTTCTTTAACTAATTAATATATTTTGCTTTGAATAAAAAATAGCCTGCAGAATATGTGAAGAACCTAGGCACCTTTAGAATCGTACTTGTTAGGATCTTCTAGCAATGGATGTTCAAGAATTTCACCCTGATGTCACGCCCTAGTGTTTATCATGCAACTTGAAATATGTTTCAATAGGCCTTAACCTCTGATATAATTGTTGAGACCTTCTAGTAGATCTGCAGGGGTAATATTGCCCGGATGTCACAATTTGGTGGTCATTGAGCGATGTTCTCATTGGTTGGATTTTATAATAATAAGAGGTTATATCTCCCACGTTTTGATGGCAAAAAATCCATTCATCATCATATTCTCCCAGGCACTTTTTTTTCCAAGTGTGCACAGTTGTCCAAGTGGTGGCCTTACTACTATTAAGCTTTCTTTATTCACCTCATTCTTTAGCGGCTTGGAGAACTTTAAAAATAAAAAAAGAGACAAACTCCCTCCCTCTGTTTGCGCTGCCTTCGGGTGGGTTCGCAAGGAACTTCCTAAAGTACTTTTTTCATCTTTCAGGCTAATTCTTTTAACCAATGTAAATTGTAGAATTATTAATAATTGGAATGCTAGCTCCTACCTTAGGTGCCTCCTCTTGTATTCTAAGGCGAAGTTTTGGATTCTCAATCCAAAGATGAGCATTTTTCTTTCTTTCCAATTCTCCATAGTGCTTTAGTACTAGAGGAATAAGCCTATGAATCATGCTTTCTTGGTGCAAAAGGGTAGTTCCATGAAAGCATCAGAAGTTCATGATAGTTGGTCAAACCAATGATCATAGACTTTATTTCAGCTCGAAAGCCCTCTTCTTTATAGCCTAGGCCTTCACAATTGATAATCTTAAAAAGATTGAACCCTTCTAAGGAGCAACCTCGGTAGCAGTAACATTGACATTAGAAGTTTCCACAAATTGACATCTCAACTACTTGGTAATAATAACATTAGACGCCTTCCTTTGATCGAGAGATGGACCCAAGTGATTAGCTGAATAGTCTTCAGCAGGAGCCTCTAGGCTGATACAATTTCAATGGTCATAGTGGTGGGGGAAATCATTGTTGTTTTTGAGGGAGTGCTGAACTAAAGGTAGCTCTATCAACACAAATATATTAGCAACCTCTATGCTTTTCATTAGTTTGTATCACTTGTTTTAAAACTTCTAAAGTTGTACAAAAATGCAATTAGCTTATTGAAGAATAAAAGAGTATCATGAATCTAAGCCAACAAATTTAAACACGAACAAGAACAAAACTCAAACTTGTACTGATATCAAACCGACTTACGAGAGAAATCTTAACTAGACACAACACAGAAAGTTAAACACGAAAGTAACATGAAATAAGACATAAAAGAAATTTATATTATTTTAAGATTAACTATCATTTTTAAATTGGATAACATAAGAGGTGAAAATTTTCAGTCACAAATTAAAAATAGAAAAAATGATGCTATACAACTTGAGCCAAAAGGGTTGAAACCAATCACATGTCCGGTCCAAGTGAGCTAGCCTAAACTCGAAATAAAAAATTTCCAATTTTAACTCAAGCTAACTACAACTTGAGTCAAAAGTGATTAATTTTGAGCTAATTTGGATAAAAATATATTGATTTTATAAAATATTTGTTTGATCACGAATTAAAATTATTCAAAATTATTTATAAGGAGGTGCTATCAAACACATGCACAAATGAATCAGATCAAAGGAGTCAACATGGCCCATGATACCCCCTAAACCCTATCCATTTATGTTAAAACAGCTCGACCTACCGATTTTAAAGGAGAGGGAGAAATTCAAGGGGAGGTGAGCTAAGAAAACTCTAACCGAGACTCTTACGTGCATGTATCCTAAGTCAAGCTGACTCAAACTTATTTCAAGCGATCTCGTTTTCAATTCAAAGCACATCAATTTTGATTTTGGATTGATTAAAATTTTAGCAATTATGGAGCAAATTTTGAGTTCCAAACATATTTTCCACCCTTAATCATTCTATGTGTCACAATTGTAGCTTTCAATTCCATTCTTGCATTCAGCCGATTCACAGTGAGCAATAACCTATTATCGGAGAATTAAACTAACATCGAAACTAAGCTGAAAGAAACATTTAAATCGAACAAATTCCAACGAATAATTCAACAACTAATATGAATAATGATTCAACACTTAACCACCAAAGAACCTTATCCAAACTAAAATACCATTCCCAACCAGCTAAATCAAAGCTATATATTCCCCCCAAACAAACTCTCTCACTCCGGGACTCCTTAAACAGATAGAACTGAGCAAAAATTGCTAGCACAAATACAATCTACTTCAAACCCAATAAGCTTCGATCTGTAAACTCAAATCACAATAAAATACAGCACAAAAACGAAACTAACTCATTCAATCATAGACAATGAAGAAGCTTACGTCCGTTTGAGGGTTTTCCATCTCAGGGGCGAAAGAAGAGGGCACACCGCCGGGATCGATGAAGACCGACGCCAAGAACGCAATAAGGCACATAAATGTGAGAAAACTAAAGATAATCGCGTTCGTTAACCCTAAAGAAGAATTCAAGGAAAGCCAATCTTGCAAGAGCACGAACACCGTGGCGCAATAGACGTAGAACATCATGAAGATGACGGTAAGAACGGGTAGAGACATGAACTTGCCCTTCTTTCCTCCCATTTTCCAGATCGAATTCAGAGATCTGAATGGAAACCCGGGATGGAAGCCGGAGCTTCTACTGCCGGGTGAGCTGTTCGAAATTTCGGAACATTTACATACATATCATTTAAGTCATGTGTATCTACCTTTATACATTCTTTCATAACCTATTAAAAACATAACTAGGGTAGGATGGTATGCATGTAAAATCTGAAATTTATGTGATCAATATGTAAATACATAAGAATTGAGTGGTATGCCTGTAAATCCTTTAAATTTAAAATAATAATAAAAAGGACTGATTATTTCACTTTTTAAAGTCAAGGAAATAACCTTTTAAAAATTAGTTATATATATGAGATGAAAATTTGATTTTTATGATAAAATGAGGTTTGGAAAATAATTTTTCCTGACATCAATAAATTAAATAAAATAGAAATATTATATTCATGCAATGTCACGATCCAATCAAGGGTTTAGAATTTTTAATATATAAATATGTAATTAGGAGGTGAAAATCGATGAAGAGATTTAAAATTGTAAGAAAATCACATATCTGGCTTTAAGTATACTATAAAAAATTACTTTAATGAGTTATTTAGGGCTTTTAAGAATTTTTAAGAAGGATATAAGGTTTATATTGATTCATAATGAGCTAAACAAGATTTTGCCAAAACTTTAATATAAAAAGAAAAAAATAAATAAAAAGTTAATTTATTATTAATTTGAATTGAATATCTCAATAACTCAATAAAAAAAATATTAAAATCAATAGCTCAATATAACAAAATGACCTAGTAAAATTTTATAATATCACTAGTTCATATATATATATAGTAAGTCAAACTGAGGGTTAATCTTACAATGTATAGGAATAGTTATTTATGCTTCAGATGTGATGTACAGTGAATTTGACTTCATTGGTCTCCATCCCCCCTGATCTCTTCCAACTTTTCATATCATAGGACTTATGCATTTTGGCATCATATTCTATTTTATTATTATTATTATTATTATTATTATTATTATTATTATTATTATTATTTTCAGGACGATATAGCCAATTATATCCATGATTATAAGATAAATTCAATATGTAGAAATTGAGAAATATATCGAGTAAATTGCTATCACTTGTCGTTGCCTTCTAAGATTAAGGGTCTGTTTCGGGCAGCTTATAAGTGTGGGCGGCGTTTTCAAAACGCCGCCGTACCGTTTGGTTCGCGCTTTTCGCTAGCTTACCCGAAACTGTGTTTGGGTTTTAACACTAAATGCGAGCCGCGGATTAACCCTTATGGCCCGCGGGCAGACCGCAATTCAAGATAAGCAGCTTATCCTAAAACGCACAAGGTCCCCCAAACGGACCCTAAGGTTGAATTTTTCCTTGTGAAAGAAACAACAGATCTTAGCTTAAATAATAAATGAAAGGTTATAAATGTAAATATGAAAGTTTATGTCATATGTATAAATATAAATGAATTGCGTGGTATGCATGTAAATTTCCCATAATAATAGATTTGAACTATTTGAAAATGATGGCTTTAAAGGTACGCCTTATCCGTCCAATGTAATTCACTGCTGATTAATTATTTATCTATAGCTGTTTTTTTTTTTTAAATATTAAAATTTACACTTATAAATAAAATAAAATCAAGGAAAAATAATTTTATTTATTTTAAAATATCGTATATAAATATTTTTATCTTTAATTTTGGCACATAAAAATTGTGAAATAAAAAAATAATTAAGCAAAACGAAATTAATTTGGAAAAAATTATATGAAATTATTCATGAAAAATAGGTTTAAAAAGAAAATGGACAAGGTAATGATTCTGCCGACCACGTGGTCCTGCTTGCAAATAATTTATTGTCACTTGGAAAAACTCGAACGTGACATCACCAAATCAATCATTCTAATTTATTTGCATAAATCCTCATTTAATTTATTGTTTTTTAATAAATAATCTATTCCAATTTTTATAATTGTTAATAAATTACTATTGATGAGAGTTAGAATATTTATGGAAGTAAAGTAAATGATTATTTATTAACATTACACAAGAATTCAACTCACAATCACATGAAAGAAAATAAATGATAATGACATCAAAAGTTCTTACACAAAAACCTATAAAGAGTAAACCACGGGGTCTAACCCATATGTAAAAATTTAATATATATTGATAATTACAGAGACCATATGTCCCACGAACTAAAAAATATTGCTAGGTTTTTCAAGTTACAATGTCAACAGACGGTTTCCGATCAGTGGTGGCCAATAGTGATTGTTGGTGATCGACGGTAGTCAGAGGTCGAAGACAGTCGGTGGTGGTTGACGACGATAATAGTGTTTGACGACGGTTAATGCTTGTTGACGGTGGTCGACGGAATCAGCGGTGGTTGGTTGTGATCAACGGCAGTCGGTGAGTGTCAACGGTTGTCTGCGGTAGTCAACAGTGGTCGACAGCGACCAACGACGATCGACGGTGAGAAAGATGGTGTTGGACTTCAGCTAATTCTCAAATTTTTATTTTTTTTTCAAGCCTCCACCAGCCTCCTCTCATGAGAGGGGTGGAGTTATATTTATATTGGTGTGGTGTATTTAATGTAAAAATATGAACCACTGATCGAACAGTCTGGAGAGTTTCCTTTGATTAAACAGCGTTTAATGGACATTTGAGTGTCTTAAGGATGTCATAATTGAGCAATCTTTGGCCCGTTGGCTTCATCTTATCGGGATGCTCGATTCGACTATATGTTTGCTAGATTTGACATTAATTTAACCTTCTAAATATATCCGAAAAACTTTCTAAGTGTAGTTTTATGACTTGATCTAAGCTTGATTTGACTCGGATTAGACTATTTTTGGTAACTCTGGGGTTTTTAATTATGCCCGAAAAACTTTCAATTAACCTTATTTTTGTAGAGCCGGTCATTTTAACTGTAAGTTTGCTTAAATTATAGTTCTGGATTAGTGTTTATCGAATATTTCTTGCTAAAAAATCACATCGAGATCTATATCATATCTTGAGATTCGTGGAGGATGATGGGAATTGGGTGGAGATATATCAATTCTATTTTATACACAATGGCCATAAATCTTAAAATACGAAAGTTGATGATATTCCAACGATAATATCAGGAATTAATAGAAAATTCTATTACTAATAAATAATTATCATACTCTTCAAAAAGTTGTGGTTAAATTAGATAAATATTCTATAAAATTTTCTAATTATTTTTTTAGATTAAAAGAAATTTAAAGATTATTAGAAGCGTGTGTTGAATAATAAATTTAAATTTCAAAACAAATTAAATAAAGCTAAAACTGAATTTTCTCTTTTATTTGAAATATGTTATTTAATTGAATTAATAGCTATTTAGCACAAATTTAAAATTTTCTTATGATTTCTCATAATATTTATCTAAATTTTGTTTACATGGATAACCAATTTATAAGAACGTATGGCTATGTGCTCTCAACTGAATTTAATATATTTCATAAATTTAAATACTTTACCATATTTATTTATCGTGTAATTACGTTGCAATATTTTCAATTTTTAAAATAAAATATTATAATATTTTATTTAATATCTATGCTTATATTTTTTTGTGTGTGTTTTATAGTTTGTTAGTAGAGCAATCTCTCTGAAGATTGTAAGTCCCCTCAGGTCAAGCATTCAAATCTCCCCGCGTGTAGGGTGTGGTACTCGAATATTTAACACACATAGGGATGACCAGACTCGTCTAATAGCCTCTTACCATTCCTTGAAAATAAAAAAAAAACTATATATATCTTATATTTCTAATAATTGTTGAGTCATTTATTTTTTTCTATTTCTAGATGTTGCAAAACAAAAAAAATTTAAACTTGCATATTATATTTGTGATAACTTAACTGATTTTTTATGATTTTTTTTATTTAAAAAATCTTAAATTATCTTTATTGTTCCCTTATTTTGGTCTAAAATGAATTGATTTCCAAAATCTTGTGCCGTTAATTAATTTCATTCCAATTCAACTTCATTTCTAAATCATATAAATTAAACCAAATATCAACCAAATATGAACCAAATTTATCGAGACAAGTACATAAATACTTCATATATTTAGCCATTTGCATAAACATCTCACAATTTTTATATATTTACATATTTAGCACATAAACTTTAACGATTACATTCATACCACTTAAACCTTCAATACCGCATCAAAGCCATCACTTTTCATACATAAATTTATGACACCAACCGTTATAGCATAAGAATTGTTCGGCATGTATGTGAATTTTTCCTATTTTATAAATTATGTCTCAAAATCTACAGGCGTTTGTTTACTCTGGGCTTGGGCAGGAAAGAGGGCTTTTGAATGGTGGGTTAGTAGTCAGGCCGGCCCAAATAAGTTTTCTTGATTCCGCATTCGGGGCCTATCCACATCATTGTAAGGACTGACCAATAAAAACCCTCCACGTCATCATGTATGGTGCTCGAGTTTGGGATTGGGTACAAGCCGTCCACTCCTCTCTCTCTCTCTCTCTCTCTCTCTCTCCTCCCTTCCTCACTTCCTTCTTCCCATAAATAAATCTGAATCTTCGTAGCCTTTGAACCAAACTCATCTCTCTCTCTCTCTCTTCATCTTTCAGAGCTCTTTTCATAACCACCATGCTCTTGCTTCCTCTCTCTAGCCTATATTTCCATTCAGCTTTCTAGCTATTTCTCAACATCCCTCTCTCTCTCTCTCTCTCTCTCTCTCTCAAGCACAACATTTTCTCAACGATCAGAGAAAGCTGGTGATTGCAGGTGCAGCATCATCAAGATTCACGCAAAGCAAGGGATGAAAATCCCTATCGCGCGAATCTTGATGATGCTGCATCAGCAGTAAGCAGCTATGTATGTCTCCCTCTATTCTTCCCGCAGAAGGTACATGAGCTCCCTAGAGTTCTATTTCGAGAAGGTATGCATAATTATTTTTTATTTTTTTATTTTTTCTTATTTTGTTATCCGATGTGAGTTTTTATTATGTATAGATTAAATGAGAATATTAGAATAATTAACACAATATTTCTCAGTTAAATTTTAAATCTTAAACGAAAGAATATTCAGTGACAGCCATATCTATAATCTCACACAG